AAATGAGCTATGTGCCTTTCTTCAGGATATTGACATACCTAGGATAGACAAATTGCTTTCTGACCAACTTGAAGCTCCCATTAAATTAGAAGAAATATTTGCGTCAATTAAGGATATGCAAAGTGGTAAAACACCTGGCTCAGATGGTTTCTCTGCCGAATTTTTCAAAAAATTTAAAGATAAAATAGCCCCTCTTCTTCTTGAGGTTTATAATGAGTCATTTGGGCAGGGCTTGTTGCCTCCCACCTTGACTCAGGCCTCAATTTCTCTCCTGTTAAAGAAGGATAAGGATCCTACTGCCTGCGAGTCCTATAGACCTCTTTCACTTTTGAATGTGGATTTTAAGATTTTGTCTAAAGTACTCGCGACTCGGCTTGAGACAGTTCTCCCTCGGATTATTTCACAAGAACAGAATGGATTCATTAAAGGTCGCCAGTTGTTTTTTAATACTCGTACACTGTTGAATACAATTTTTTCAACTCATTCCTCTAAATCTCCTGAAGTGATAATTTCTCTTGATGCCGAGAAAGCCTTTGATCGAGTGGAATGGGAATATCTCTTTGCTGTTCTTAATGGGTTTGGTTTTGGAGAGAGGTTTGTGTCTTGGATCAAGCTACTTTATACATCCCCTCAAGCATGTATTCTCAGTAATTCCGTCCAATCTGATTATTTTACGGTGGGACGTGGTACTAGACAGGGTTGCCCTCTTTCTCCCCTCTTGTTTGCGTTAGCCATTGAACCCCTATCCGTTGCTCTAAGATCCCTTTCTTCTTTTCATGGAATCGTCCGCTCTGGTGTCGAGCTTAAATTGTCCTTATATGCAGATGACCTTCTCCTGTATGTCTCTGACCCTTTACGGAGTCTTCCCCCAATTTTAAATATTCTAGAAAAATTTGGATCATATTCTGGCTATAAAATTAACTCACTTAAAAGTGAATGCTATCCAGTGAATTCATTAGCTTTAAAGCTTAAGCCTTCTGATATCCCTTTTAAGCTCAGTCCCTCGGGATTTAGGTACTTAGGAATTAATATTACACGTACTTTGCCCTCAATGTTTTCTCAGAATTATGCCTCACTAGTTTCCCAAATTGCATCAGATTTACAGAGATGGAACTCTCTCCCTCTTTCATTGATTGGTAGGATTAATATTATCAAAATGAATGTGCTACCTAGACTTTTGTTTTTATATCAAAATATCCCTCTGTTCTTGCCCAAACAGTTCTTCAGGTCCCTGGATCAGATGGTCTCATCTTTTTTATGGAACGGAAAGGCCCCCAGAATGAGACTTTCTTTATTACAACAGTTCACCACAAACGGGGGTCTTTCTCTACCTAATTTTACAATGTATTACTGGTCCTCACATATCCATAAACTGACTTATTGGTTAAATTCACCTGATCTGATTTGGTGTAAACTTGAAATTCAGTCGATTTCTGCATCTTTTTCGCCCGCTTCAATTATTTATTCCTCATTACCAATTAAATTATCCTCAGTTACTACAAATCCTATAGTGCTCTCAACACTCAGGATCTGGTCACAATTTAGGTCCCACTTTAAATTTGTATCACCCTCTAATAAAATGCCGTTACTAAAGAATCACATTTTTTCTCCAGCATCTAATAATGCTGCCTATAGAATTTGGTATGAGAAAGGTATTAGAACAATGAGAGACCTGTACGAAGATGGTTTATTTCTTAGTTTTTCAGAATTGTCTTCTAAATTTAATCTACCCACTTCACATTTGTTTCTTTACTTCCAAATTAGGCATTGCGTTTCATCGCAGTTTCAAAATTTTCTAGCTTTGCCTACTGACCCACCATGGGTTGAACTCTTAGTTTTGAGCCCCAATTTGAAATCTCCTCTTTCAATTATTTATGGAAAACTTATGGCAATAGAGGCCGATTCATCGGGTAAAACTAAAACTGCATGGGAACGTGAACTGGGTGTTAAACTATCAGATTCATGGTGGGATAAAGTTATTCTCAGCATACGTCAGAGTACACCATGTGCCAGACTACAGTTAATACAATTTAAAGTAATAAATAGAGTACACTTCTCAAAAACACGTTTATCTAAAATGTTCCCCTCAATACCAGACCAGTGTGATAGATGTCAGACGTCACCTTGCAACTTAAGTCATATGTTCTTTTTCTGCCCAAAACTGCAAGGGTTTTGGAAATATTTTTTCTCCATACTCTCAGGAGTTTTTAAGATTCAGTTTCAAAGTGATCCACTTATTGCTATTTTTGGAGTTCCTGGGACCACACTTAATCTATCCCGCCAGCAGGGGGAGGTCTTGGCCTTTTGCTCTCTCCTTGCCAGACGTTGTATTTTGCTCGCCTGGAAATCTCCCACACCACCATCCACATCACAATGGCTTAATACTGTAAGATCATACTTGAAGATGGAAAAAATTTTACTAACAGTGAAAGGTAGTTCAGAAAAATTTACCCACAAGTGGACACCCTTTGTGTCATATGTAAAATCTTTACCTTCATAGCGTATAGACTGATATGATTGACTCATCATATTACCATGTGACTTGTTTTTAGAGGATAAATGAAAGACTGAAATACTGTTTTCCTTTTGGTTTGTTGGGTCCCTCCTGTTCGTTCCTCCTCCCCCCCTCTCTCTTTTTTTTTTTTTTTCTCTCCTTTTTTTTTTCTTTCCTTATTTTGTCTTGTTTTTGGTTAAGGGGGGAAGGGGAGGGAGGGGAAGAGGGGAGGGAGGGGGGAAAAGGGGGAAGGAAAAAAAAAGAAAAAATTGGAGAAGTCATGTAAATTTTGTATAATGTATGTAATGTCAATTATATATTCTCCTGATAAATAAAAATTTAAAAAAAAAAAAAACACAGTGTTGGCCAGTGCCAAGGACCCACTGAACTCTTCCCACCTCTGAGCTTGTGCCTAAGAAACAGCCAGGTCTGCAGCCTGCTTGGCTTGCTGATACTCGTCAGCTAATTCCGGAGTCCTACCAGCCAACAAGGCCTGATAGGACTCTTTCTTCAGATCAACAATGGCCTCCCTAAAATATGGTGTCCACCACCGAGTTAGAGGATGGCCACTATGTAAGCACCAAAAATCTTGCAGCCACAGCTCAAGGCAGCATCCTTGACAATGGAGGCATGGGACATTGTCCGCTCAGACTCAAGGTCCCCCGCCTCAGCTGGGATGCAGTTAAAGCTTTCCCAGGGGTGTGAGTTGAAAATTGTTCTGATTGGTTCTCCTGTCAGGTGTTCCCAACAAACCTTATTACACATTTGGGTCTATCGGGTATGTCTGGCATTTTCCTCTGTCATCTGATCCAACTCACTAGATGGTGATCAGCTGACAGCTCAGCTCCTCTCTTCACCAGAGTGTTCAAAACATACAGCCACAAATCAAATGACATGACTACAAAGTCAAACATCGATCTGTGCCCTTGGGTGTCCTGGTGCCATGTGCACTATTGGGCATCCTTATGTTGGAACATGATATTTGTGATGGAGAAACCATGACTAGCATGGAAGTCCAACAACAGAACACCACTCGGGTTCAGATCAGAGAGGCTGTTCCTCCCATTCACACCCAGGTCACACTGTCATTACCCACATAGGCATTAAAGCCCTATGGATCATCAATACAGTAAAGTCAGCAGTAAATTATAACACATACAATTCTTGTACTTTTTTTGTGCTTGTTATGCCTGGCATGGTATGAAGTAGAACAGAAGTGACACAGACATTAATCATTCATTCATTAATAAAAAGGCCTCTTTAGTAGAATGGTTAGTGATCCTGCCTTGTAAATAGGAGAATAGGATCTCGGCAAAATTGTCAAGTTGTTCACAATATTCTCCATAAACAAAAGTATTTTATGTTTTTGTAGATGGCATCAATACTATTTCAAAAATGTTTAAAGGGATCTCTGGAACAATATACGTATCTTGTTTCTTCATTTCAAGTAGCTCCTAGTTTATATTGACTATAGCTATTTTATAAGGTAAATAACAATAGCTTTAATCAAAATCTAGTTTCAAAACAGAGAGGAACACAGTGACCTGTAGGAGTGGTAGCAGTAGTACTCAGGTAGACAATATTCTGTGTAGAAGAGATGACCTGAGGGAGATTGGGGTCTGGAAGGTTGTAGCAGGAGATATCATGGTTAGACAGCATTAGATGGTGGTGTGCAAGATGATTGGTGTTGTGAAGAAGAGAAAAAGGGAAAGTCAGAAAAAAAAGACCACAAGGTGGAAGTTGAGGAAGGAAGAATGATATGAAGAGTTCAGAGAGGAGCTGTTAACAACTTTTCGTGATAAGAAAAAGCCTCCTGATGACTGGGTTACTACAGCAACAGTGTTTAGAGAAACAAGTAGGATGGTACTTGGTGGATCATTGGGATGGAGAAAAGACAGTTGGAAAGCCTGATTGTAGACAAATAAACTGCCTAAAGTTATCCAGAGGAGGAGGTTAGTTGAGAGAAAAATGGTACTGTTAGAGGAATGACAAGTGTAGACGAGAATACAAGAGATGCATAGGGCAAAGAGGGCGGTAGCAAAAACAAAACAGAAGACATATGATTAGTTGTACAAGAGGATGGACACTAAGGAGGGAGAGAAAGGCTTGCATATCAGGCTGGAAAGGATGTGCAGAAGGTTAGACAAGTGAAAGACATGAATGGTAATGTTCTAACTAGCAAAGAGTGTGTGATGAAAGGACAGACATACAATGTACACGGAGGGGCTAAATAATGAAGAAAATTGAAGGGAAAGGAGAGTAGAAGTCATAGAAACTGTGGACCATATGGTGGGAAAGATTAGTGATACATCATACACATTGAATTGAATATGTAAACAGTCCATTTATGATACCGTACGAGGCCACCAGATGTAAATGAACATATATCTGTGAGATATTATCCTGTTAACACTGGCAGCGGCTGTCCTCAGGTCCTCGAACAGTTTAGCTGACATAATTGTTATGTCTGCCCCACCATCCAGGAGTGCTTCATGTGTGAGGACACCTTCGAGTGTTACTGACAGGTACGCCTTCTTGGCGACCCCCCTTCTGATAAAGTTACACATAAACCTCTTGGGTTTTTTCTGACGCTTCTTCACCCGTTCAGCCATGTCTGTGTAATCTCGGTTTGTCTGAACCGTCAGCACAGCAGTAGCTGTTTCTGAGTGTTCAGCTTGCGATGACTCGTCATCGTTTGTGTGTGAGTTTACCCCCCTTCTTCCGATGAGGGGTTGTTGGAGGCAACAACAACAATGTCTTGGTGTGTTCCACCGACATCTGTGATGTTGTCATTCGTGCCCTCAGATGTAATAGTGATTACATCACTGCATAGTGCTCCAGGTTGGTTTCCCGTCTCAGCGCGTTTCAAAGTTTCTAACAACCTGCGCAGTTTCTCTGTCTCTTCCGAGCTCAGAGGTGTACGGCCTTGTTTCTGGAAACTTTGTGATTTTTTCGCCTCGGTTTGTTTCGTCCGAGGTGGGGGACGGTTAGGTACGTCTTTTGGGGGTTCCTTTTCGGACTTCCCCTGATAATATGGGTCCTCTTGGATCCCATATCTTTGCGTCCTACGCACACCCCATTTACGATAATCACGTTCATCCTCTGAAAGAGGAGCTTTTTTATCCCAGCGTGCACCTTCATGACGCGGTTTGTTAGTTTGAAAAGACTGCTTTTTCTCGCCTTTTTTAGGAGGGGGGTCAATGCACGCCGTCCTTCCATTTCTAGCGAGTGGGGTTTAACCATTATACCAGGAAACACCTCTATGGGCGTCTTAGCATGAGAACATGCCTCAAACACATTCACAGCACACTGTTTAATCTCATTGATGGATTTTTCTCTGAAATTTGCCATCATTTGTACTGACGTTTTAAAGTCAGTGTGGAGATTTTTGCTGAAAACAAATTTAAAACCTTCTTCCTCCTCCATTCCGGTTTCATTTCTGTAACCAAAATAAGCTTGGAAGATTCTTTTGTAATAAACCTTTGGATGTTCATGCTTCCCTTGCGTGACCTTGTCTGCGGCTGGGAAACCAGCAGGTCCTGTGCAGGGGTCGTACTCCCTGATCAAAGCTTCACACAGAAGGTTGTAATCCCTTCTCGTGGCATCAGGTTGACGCTCGATGAAGGTGAACACCTCTCTGTCCGAAGTGAGCCTTATCAGACTGATTTTATCCTCAACCGTAGCATTAGGATAACCACTCAGTCTGAAATCAAGGTCTTTGAGATACGCTTTTGTGCCCGTTGAACCCATTGGACCAGGTACAAAGCGCTGTACATGTTTTGAGATTTTTTGCAAATCATCTATTGAAGGAGGAAGTTTCAACGGTCTCTCTTGCATGGTTGGTAGTGGAAACTTGTTCAGGTCTGTCCCTATCACCTGAGATAAGGGTGGAGGTGTGTCTCTATACACATGTGGAGGTGGCAGAATGGGATTAAGAGCAGGAGGTGCACCAAAATCTTTCTGAGGTGATGGCGGGTGACCTGGACTCTGACCTTGGTCTTCTCTGAGTTCCAGACAAACTCGCCCCACATCAGAAATTTTATTTGTTGCCGCGGCTAGTTTCTCCTCACAGGCTTTTAAGCGTTCCTGTGATGTTTGACATTCACTTCGTAAACGCACGCCTTGTAGGAGTAACGCCTCATTTTCCAATCTGCATTCGTTCAGAGCTTTTGATGTGAGCTGCAACTGTTGTCGTAGCACATCGTTGTCTGAACACAATGCTTGGTACTGAATCTCTCTATCCCTAATCTTCTCCTCATATGAATGAGCTTGTAATGACAGCTGATTTTCTGAGAGCTCCCTCTCACTTTGCACCTCAACTGCACGTGTCTCTTCACCAAGTTTAGACTGTGCCATGAATTTGAGATACCTCTCTCTGTCCGCTGCATATGCCTTAGACATCATGTCGTTTTGTTCAACCTGTTGATCCAATTTGTCTTTGAGAAGCAGAGAAATTTTTGCTAACCGTTCAAGGCCCTGCTTTTTATTCTCTTTAACCGTGGCTCCTTTTGCTAAACTTGTCAGCTCTTCAGCTGTTTGAGTTTCATCAATCCGTTCTAATTGTGTGCCAATAATTGGGTTTGTTAAAATATATAAAGCTCCCTGGATGATGTCATCTTGTTGACTGTCATCTTCTGACTGGGAGTCTAAAGGGTCAACGTTTTCCTCCTCTCCAGCCATTATCTTCTATTTAAAATTAAATAGGAAGATGTGGTATTTTAGGTGGTAAAATAAATCAGAAAAGTTTCCTTTTTCTGATATAATTACTCTTATTTAGTGTTCTAGCAATTAAACGTGTATTATCTTTTCAGCAAATGAGTAAACTTTATCAACTCTATGAATATCTGGACTGTATCTTTAAAAAGTTTCTAATTTTTCATTTTGCACCTCCGATTGAGGAATTATCAGTGAATGAAAAATGTCTTGGTAAATGCCTTTCTGGCATAAATACCTTACTCACTTTTTAAATGCAAGATAACAGTAATAACTCAGCTTGAGGAACGTTTATTAACTCAAAAATGCTTCTGACAGAAATAAACACGTTTAATTTCACCAAAATATCCTAAAAACGAAGTGAAACTGTGATTTCAAGTTTCCAACAGGAGGTGGCAGTATAACCTTATTTTATTTTAACCCTGACACTGTTAGTGGCGACCAGTAGGAGTCGCGATGACTTCCTGTGGCTTTGGTGACATCTGGTCGTTAGCTGTTAGCTTAAAATTAGCATCGGCTAGCGTGGTCGAAAAACACCATTTAATGACGGATTTAAAACTTAAACGTGGCAAAGTTTCAGCGATTATGCTTTAAATAAACGGAGCAGCGGATCAGAACCAACTTTAAAGCGTTTTTCAACTTTAAACAGCAGATTGAAATTCCCTATGAAGACGAGCTTCATTTCTGGGTCACGTGACTGAATCTACCAATGACAGAGCAGCGGCGGGGGTGGATTTTACAACCTGACATCAGAGGAAGTGACGACAGACACGTCACTCGTCTCTCAGCGAATCAGAGCTACCCAAATCAGTGGCTTCCAGCCAATGACGGATCGTTTTTTCAGCTAGCGTGTTAGCATTTAGCCTGAACAAGTCCGGTCAACTTTCGTCATTAAAACTGTCAAAATGTACAATTTTCTGTTAAAAATGTGACGAATAAACTCCCAAAAGCTCACTGAGACGGCGCTCAGTTTTAAAAACGTCTCTCCAACCATTTAAAACAACTCGCTCGAACTTTTCAGAACCGAGCGAGCGAACCGGGTCTGAGCAGAACCCCCTTCCGTTTAAACAGAATCAAATGCTTTTCACAGCTCATCAGCTTTGTCACACAACAGACGTACATTTCAGCTTTAAAACGAAACCCATTGGCTTTATTTTCAGCTTTCAAAACACCACAACTGTAAACATTCTCCGAACCCCACAGCTGCAAAACGCTGCGTTTCACACAGCAACCTGCACTCTTAAGCTAGTTTCGGTTAAGATCAGATATGCCAACATGATAATTCAATCGTTACACGAATAACAGTCCATTTATGATACCGTACGAGGCCACCAGATGTAAATGAACATATATCTGTGAGATATTATCCATAAATTAAACGGATTCTTTCATTTTTCTGGACTGAGTTCTATCGTGCATTGAATGATTAAATGTGACGTGAGATGTTAATTTTCTTTGACCCATCAAAAATGAATGCGGTCATTTATTAACAGAATCAAAGTTTAACATCAAACATTTACATTAATTTGGCAAAATTGATTACAATAACAGCTTAATTAATTAGCTTTACAATTAGAAAACCACCCGGCCATGGTTTCCTTGCTTCAAGCTTTACAACAGACATTTCTGAAAATATCTGGATGATTTAATGGCAAGATAGAAGAGTTTTAAAGATGGGAAATGAAGTTTAAATGGAGAGAGATGGGTGAAGATGTATGTGTCTGTATAAGATGTAGGTCTGTAGGCCAGAATGACAACACACTCCTTTTGGATGCAGCTTAACCCACGGTACACTTTGGTTGAGATCGACTCTTTACCTTTGCAGATGATAGTTTCGGCGTTAGTGTAGAGTTTTCCTTTCAACTCTTCCAGCGTCTCCGTAAGAACAGCTAAACCTCAGGAGTCGTGAGATCATCCCAGAACAGACTTCTTCATAGTTCCTCTGAACTTCTCTCGTTCAGCTTAGTTGCCGTTGTTCTCCAGCATTCTCTACATTCTCTGCATTCTCTGCATTTTTTCTGGAACTAGGAAGTGTTGAACCTTTTAAAGAGGTCACTTCCGGTTCCTCTGAGAACTTCCTGATTGGTCGAAACGAACCAACAAGGTGTGGTCTTAGTGATGTAAGAGGTTATTGAAAGTCAAGGAAAAAGATTAGATTGTTTAAGAACAGACAGAAGATGTTTTGAAGAAAACGAGACTTTGTGGAGTCAGTTCTTTTCTATCTGTCTGAAAAAGTTAAACATGACATTTTTTCCAGTAAACATGTAGTTGACCGAAACTTGATCTTTGACCGACTTACACTTGCTCATTTCAGACAGAAGATCAAGAAAATGAATAATTACTCTGTAACAGACATTAACTAGATTTCTACTTTGAATGAGGATTGAAAATCATTTATACTGTTTCACAGTTGATTTAAAATGAGTAGTTCACTTCAACATTTAAAATGGTTTGAACTAAACACACTTTGATTATCAAGACATTTGTAAAATAGTAATGATAATAAAAAGAGAGTGTTCTTTCAATTGATCAGTGCAGGACACACTTAGAAAGTCTCTGGATGGACTTGATTTTGTGTTTCTGGACTCAAATTAATGAAATGACAGTTCTTGTTTCAGGAAGGCCCTCAAGGTCAGGATTTGACCTGAGGCTTAGTTCACTACAAATACTTCTTTAAAATTTAATAGAAATAAAATAAAAACTTGTCCCCAATTTTTTTTTTTTAGAAACACAACAATAAAGTTCAGTTTGTGCAACAAAAAACAACTAATTTAGAAGAGCTTATTCTATAAACGGAATATTGGCTGCAATGATTCTATAAGTCTGTGCATGCA